TTTTTTTTTTAATTAGTAATTTACATAGCCACATTATTCTTTCCTGTTAGGTTTGTCCAAGCAGCTGTTTCTCTTGCTGTAGTAATACCTTGTTTGTTGGAGCTACAAGAGCAACATTATGGAGTGAAGAAAGGCATACCTACCTTGGTTATGGCGGCAGCGTCCTTTGATAATGTTCTCTGTATAAGTGCATTTGGAGTTTGCCTTGGAATAGCCTTTGATTCAGGATCTGCATTGAGTTAGTTATTTGTTCTTAGTTGTCATTAAAACATTTTATCATGACCTCCAAGTCTAACAAATACCAGTACTCCAAATTAGTAAACTACAAGTAGGAAGTATTGTACAACAAAAATATTTAAGGTCAATCAATTGACCAGTATCCAATTCGGCAACTCCCTGCACTTGAGAAAGAAACCTTTGAGTTACCTGTGCCATCTTTCTGATCTTGATTTGATATCTTGTATACTGAGCTACTTTTGGTTTTAATTAAGATGTTGACAGAAATGGAAACAGGGAAAAATATTTTTAACAGTTGAACCTCACTATCTTGAACTTCCCACTATGTCAAACTCAAATCATATTTCTGTAGATGTACATGTACTTTAGTAGTCACTTACTCTCAGCTATCTCAAAATCCCGATATCTCGAACTGTTTTCAATTCCCATAAGAGTTGGCTATCTGTTACAGAAATTCCAAGCATACATACCTATTAAACCTTTTAACATGTACATTAAAACAATCTGTATTCACAGAATTGTAAAATGGATCAAGAATAACCAGCTGGACCCCTTTGCAATGGCTGACAATGAACCTGTTATGCAAATTTGTTATTCTGTTAACTTTGCTCATAATTTTTTACTGATTCTTTTAGAGGATCTGATATTCAGTATATTTCGTGGGCCAATAGAGCTGGCACTGGGAATAACCCTTGGAAGTCTTGCTGGTGCAGTGTGTTGGTTCTTTCCCAATAAGAGTGAGGTAAAAATCTCCTTGTGATTACTTAGTGTAAGTTATTTTTCTTACTGTTTTGGGAATTTTCTTCAGATTCCCCTGATATGTAGGCCAGTTCAGATGCTGATCATTTCCTGAATGTTTCTTGGACCTCTAGAGACTAGCACTAGTTTTCATTCTCAAAGAATTGCCTATTAGTGCAACGTCAACAGTTCCTTTACTTGAGCCAATCAGAATTACCAGTATATATCGGCAACATATGATCCAAGCGATCTTTATTTTGATGCAAAAATTTAGCTTCTTTTGTGGAATTCGAACTAAACGTCCCTCTTGGAGAAGCTTGTAGTGAAATTGCCTGCTGTTTCTTCGACTAAAAAGACTGATTCATACCAATTGCAAAAGATAGAGCAAGAAAATATTCCTTCCACATGGACAATAGGCTGAAGATGCAACTGTGATAGATCNTATTAAACCTTTTAACATGTACATTAAAACAATCTGTATTCACAGAATTGTAAAATGGATCAAGAATAACCAGCTGGACCCCTTTGCAATGGCTGACAATGAACCTGTTATGCAAATTTGTTATTCTGTTAACTTTGCTCATAATTTTTTACTGATTCTTTTAGAGGATCTGATATTCAGTATATTTCGTGGGCCAATAGAGCTGGCACTGGGAATAACCCTTGGAAGTCTTGCTGGTGCAGTGTGTTGGTTCTTTCCCAATAAGAGTGAGGTAAAAATCTCCCAGTTATTATTTAGTGTACATGTAAGTTATTTTTCTTTCTGTTTTGGGAATTTTCTTCAGATTCCCCTTACATGTAGGCCCAGTTCAGATGCTGACCATTTCTTGGACGTCTAGGGACTGGCACTAGTTTTCATTCTCAAAGAATTGCCTGTTGGTGCAACGCAAACAGTTCCTTTGCTTGAGCCAATCAGAATTACCAGTATATATCGGCAACATATGATCCAAGCGATGTTTATTTTGATGCAAAAATTTAGCTTCTTTTGTGGAATTCGAACTAAACGTCCCTCTTGGAGAAGCTTGCAGTGAAATTGCCTGCTGTTTCTTCGACTAAAAAGACTGATTCATACCAATTGCAAAAGATAGAGCAAGAAAATATTCCTTCCACATGGACAATAGGCTGAAGATGCAACTGTGATAGATCATCTTCAAACATCCATTGTGGACAAGCACCTTGAGTCTAACTGTCTCTTTATCGCATTTTGTGCATAGATGTTTAATTAAATTTGTCTTTGGAGTAGCCCAAAAGTGGTTTTAGCTTCTTATGAAACCTTAGTAGTAAAATATGCCTAAAATAGCTCAGGAAAAATCGCATAATTTGCATAATTTATTGCATAACAGCCTATTCTTATTGCATAATTTGCATAATTTATTGCATAACAGCCCGTTCTTATCGCATAATTTGCCCTGAAAATTTTGCATAATTTCTGGTTTTTTATTGCACCTTATCAGAAGGCCTGAATTATTATGGCCACTTAAAGGTGCATCATGTAAGGAGTTGATACAAATTTTACCCTCAACATTGTTTTGTCTTGACTGACAATAAACTAAGGAATTTTATGATTTCCAATGAAGCTCAGTTCTATCTTTAAAATAAGCTCCCCCATTTCCAATATATATTAAGTGATTTCTCCATTCTTCAACCCACCCTAGCCATATCCCTCTGGAAAAACATTCAACACTAGAGGCAAGATTTACGGTAATTAGGTTCTTGCATTCTCTTTAGACCAATGTGGCTCACAACAGACTAGTGATATTACTCTCATTGGCATTACTCTCTGTGTTTGGCAGTAACGTGGCCAAATTTTCTGGTGCAGGAGCTCTTGGTGTATTAACCATGTCAACTGTAGCTGCATATGGATGGACACAGCAAGGAAAGGTACTTGATAAATATGTTTCTGTTAACATGTGTGTAGAGTAAATCACTGAGTATTTTTTAAGACAGTTTCAAATTCTTTTAGTGCCACATGGGTATCATCAACCAGTTGACCAACTTCCTTCGAATTTGAAGCAATACATGTACCTACAGGCTCTGACAGTATTATCTTTACCTCTGCACGCATTGCAGACCTCAACCCTTTTCTCAGTGACAGGATTGTGACTAAACCAGAATCAAGGTTGTCCCAGGGTCTTTCTCCTTCTATTCTGCTTTTCCAGTCTCCTTAGTATACATGTATATTTTGCCGCATATTGGAAAAAATAATGCAATCGTGTACATGTATATTCTTCTCTCACTGAAAAAGAGCAGATCTATAGACTGTTTTCTCTGCTGAACTTGCTCTAATTTTACGTGATTACTCTAAAGATATTTTGACCATCCTGTTATTAATAAAACTATGTTGGTGCAAAATTTAAGTTATTTGGTTGTAATCTCTGTGTGCTCCATGTTGTAAGTGTGGGAGCCCATTTTTCTCCTTTTAAATCTTTTGTGACATTCTCTGGGAAATGAGAGTTTTATTTGCTAAACCATCAATCCAACCCTCATGGATCAGGTTCCCAACAAACGAATGCTCAGAATGATAAATTTGTTAAGCTCTTTAAAGTCGGCATTAGCTTGCATGAAATAAATTCAAAGCAAACTATTTATTTTTAAGCTGTTTAATCTGAAGACAGGGTATGATCTTCTTTGTTTGTTTGTTTGTTTGTTTTAGGCTCCTGTAGCCATGGTAATGTCTCTTGTGTGGCAAGTGTTTGAGCCTCTCTTATTTGGTCTTGTTGGAGCTGAAGTCAGCGTTGAATACATGAACACCAAAGTTGTTGGTAAGTTTGAATCCGACATCTGAGCGGATTTCAAACGACCAGTGTCGCGGTCACAGTCTTCGTTTGAAACTATGTTTTTGGAGCTTAACCTTCAAATTCTGATAGTGAACATGGTGTAGGAGACAAGTTCAATAGCTTAATGTCCCTATCATGTATACGAGGTTAACACTAATAGCTTTATTAATATGTCAGTCGCTTTAGCCCAGAGAGAACCCTTTACTAATCGAGAACAGAAAGTAACATACCTAAAACGAATTACAAAACCTGAAAATAATTTTCAAAAATTTGTCGATTAGTTGAGCTGAGCTGACTTTGACAAGTTTCTCGATGCATGGCAAGCATGAAACTTACCAGTTATATTGATCCTGATTTTGGGTTCACTGGGATTTACTGCGCTCCAATTAGCGCCTCGCTAACTGAGCTAAACGTACAATTCGTCTATGTGTGGGATCTGGATGTTTTCGTTTTTTTTGTTCCTTAAAGGTATGGGTATTGTAAGTTTGGTTGTAAGTCTGGTCATACGGCTCATCACTACTTATCTTGGTTTGCTTGGAAACGACCTGAACTTGAAAGAGAGACTGTTTATTGCAATAGCATGGCTACCGAAAGCCACGGTGCAGGTAAGCTTAATAGCAAAATCATTTCGCCGATTACTCAATCCCTTGAGCTTTTTTAACATTTGCAGTCACTGTTGTCTGCTACTTGCTAGTGAGGTACAATGAAAATGATGACGCTAGGCCCAAGCCCGCAAGAATCTGAAGGTTCCCCCGCACTTTGGTTAAGTTTGCGTGCCTTTGAAACAACCCCTACCCAATTCCGCGTTCACCAGCAGCCAAATCGCCAGCTGAGACTTTAGCCTTAACCTCAGAAGAGAGGCGCCTTTCTCCGCGTGTCTGTTCCCCTGCTAGAAATACGTCTAAATCGCGACTGCTAAAGACGAAGCTCTTCAGAGATCAGCGAAGCCTCTGATTGGCTGTCTATTGAGTAATTTTGAATTTCTACGCGGAAGTAACAGACAATCAGACTCAACACGGAATTTTTCAGTTTTATGTCATCAAGCAGCGGATAAAATGCGCATGCGAAGAGACAGACGTTCGTTTATTCAAGCTTGGCTGTTATTGGAAGATAAACTGGATATGGCAGGGGAGCTTAAAAGAGAAAGAACATTCGTGTTTGGGCAAACAAAGAGAGGAAGAGTTTGGCTAAAGAAGAATTGAAAATATCTTAATTGACCTCTCACCCTATAGGCTTTTGAAGGCCTATGTATAAAATGCAGAAGCACACTGAAAAAGAACATGGCCTGATTAATCCTATATATTCCTTACTGGCATAGGATAGATCCTTGTTAGTATGATCGCCATTTATTAACGAGATTATTTGCTTGCCTCTAATACAGGCTGCCATTGGTTCTGTGTCGTTAGATATGGCACGGCAGAAAGGCTTAACGGGACAGATTGAGGAAGAGTTTGGAATTCAGGTATTACTACCCGGTATAAACTGTTTTTGAAAATTGAAAGAATTGTCTCTTGTTAGCTCACGCTTTGTACGTGAACGAACAAGTACAATTTTATACCTGCTCTCTTATAACCTGCTGAGGGATTTTAACGCATTCCAGGGACTTCCGAAGAGCTTGCGAAGCCTTGAGTTGGTAACAGGATGCACAAGCAGTCATACGAATGATCAATTGCTTGCTTTATTATTCTTGTTGAAAACTGATATATCTTTGGAAATCGTTGTCTTCAATTTATGGTCCGATTTCTCATTTACAAGGAGAATTTTAAATTGTGTTTCTCTTAACGTTTGGAAAGTTCCTCGTGGTACGTAAGGCAAAAAACTACATTTGTTAAAGCTTCAAGAAGTGAGGTTGTACGACTTTGCACAACAGGCCAAAATTAATATTTTGGGTTTACAACGTCGAAATTTTGTATTTCGCCTTTTTGTTACCATAAATATTTTGAATCGAACTCATTTGGTCATAAATAGAGAGATAAAAAACTTGTATCAGGTTGATACAAGCCAGATTGACAAAACTACATGAAAACACATTGTGTAACTCTGTTAAAGTGTTTCTTTAGAGTTCTTAAAACACAAGTGGAAGGTTTGGGAGAACGAGAAATTCTACAGTTGTTTTTTTCGACTTTCCTCGAGCGAGTGTTTCAATCGAACAATATTAGACTACGAGCCCGAGTTTTCTATGAGAGAATAGTCAACGAGGTGCAGCCGAGAGTGGATAGTGAGTAGCGTAGCCAATCAGAAAACGACATTCTCGTCATAGAACGTTAATTAACAATTAGATTATGAGCTCGGGAATTCTATCGCATGATAGTTGACGAGGGCGCAGCCCGGGTCAACCATTTACGCCTAGAAATCGACAGCGAATAATCTAATTGTTTTAGTATAAATCTACTAGTCGTTCAAATCTTTCATCTAAATCCTCTGCACAGACACTTCCAAAACGCGAAGAATTTAAGTGCCCGCTAGTTTATTAACAAGCGCTCACTGCTACCCTCTCACTATGTAGAACAGAAAAGATAACGGGTAGCGTCGCCAATCAGAGAACGCCATTCGTGAATAGAACGCTAGTATATTTATACTATCAGCAGATAGAAAACCGTAACGGAGCCAATCAAATTCATGGATTCACAATAGACTACCGACGGTAAATTTACCCTAAACCTCGATAGAAACACGGAGAAGAGTGTACACTTTCTCACAGGGTATTTTCTAAACATATAAAACAGATTCTGACCATTGCTGTGCTGGGAATTCTTATCACTTCGCCCATTGGAGCCATAGGAATCGTTTTGGCTGGACCAAGAATGTTAGAACGCAGTCCTCCTCCAGTAGTAGAAATAGATGGCATTCTCAAGGACTCTGCAGAATCTTCTCAAAAACCAGAGAGTCCATTGTTAGAAAGTACAGTCTGAGACTGGTAATTTATTTGATGACTCAAATATATGAATGTGTAAGAAGTATATTCGCGACTCTACGCTATTGGTTATGTATAATGACTTATAAAAAGTAACAAAAAAATATCGATTTTTTTTTTTCTTTCATCCCAGATATATTTAATACACGGTATTGCTGATTTACTTCACACGGTTGAAGACTTGTGAAGAAATAAAGTCTCATCTTCGTTTACTAAGAAAAACAAACTATTCAAATGTATGCGATTATTTTGCATTTGTCGTATTCCATTTAACATGTAAAAAATGTTCCCCTTCTAAAGAAGGAATTATCTTCTACTATAGCTATTAGCTTTTCGCGTCATATTACTATGACTCTAAACGTATAGAT